GACGCCATCTTCCAGTGTCCGTCGTCGTTGACGCCACCTTAATCTATTTTAAGGCATTTTTAATTTTTCACTTTAAATCTTAAATTATACTATTATTTATTTGTATACTATTAATTTTTAATTTTTCACTTTATATCATATTTAAATTAAATTTTTTTACTATAAATCCTAAATATAATTTTAATTGTTTGTATATATTTGTATAAATAGAATATGTGATACTATATATTGTAAACAAAGTGTATTTTTAACTCAATCTTCGCGACCGAAGGGCCTAAGAAAATGAAAGTGAAGACTTTCATAAACAAGTATTAGTATGAGTTATACGAGTTGTATTAATAATATTGAAAGAAGTCTTCATTTGCCACGAACTATTTTCATAATGTTTTTTTTAATTTTTAAGGTCATTGCAGTTACTTCGGGAAAAAAATGGCTTAGCTTACGACTAGACCAAATTGGATTGATGTTCCGGAGTACCACAACAACCTAGGATGGGGGTAGGGGACAGAGATGTTTGTTCGTTCTGGTGTGTTCTTCTAACAAAGATGTTTGTTTTAGTCACTTTGTGTGCTTAGTCTTCCATACCGTTATCCGATGTAAGTTCGTTTTGGTGTGTTCTTTTTACAAAGATGTTTGTTTTACGATATATAGTATAATAGTTTGTCTTGTTCTTTATGATTATTTTAGATTTATCGTTGTATGTCTTCGTTGTTGTTGTAAGTGTTTCAATATACTGTGCCATATACATATGCCGAATTGGATGAGATTCGAGAGTTTTGGGTCAGTAATTTTCTTGAAGAATTAGTTTAACTTTCAAATATATAATTAGCTTGTAAGTATATATTGAATTGTGTGATTGTTTCATTAAAATGAACATATTGAATAGTGTGATTGTTCTGTTCAGTTTCAGTTTCCGCTCTTTAAAAAAATTCCTTTCAAATCAGTTGTTTAGTAACAACCGATTCAAAAGGCGCTTCCCAGAATTGGCTCCTATGGGCAAAAAATTCAAATTTGCATGGTACTGTCTCAGACCGTAATGATATTAAACCATTTGATAGTGTTTTTAAACGGGATTGATTTCTTCATCCCGAACCGAAATCAAATTGAAACTGAACCGATATAAAAAAGGATGAGACCATGATGGAAATATATAAAACCAATTATCACGGACCGAACCGTCCAAAGCTATTTACAGGATATCTTAAATACTTATTTGTTTACTTCATCTTACCATATATGGACTACGTCGCATTGTAGTAGCGAAAAAGACTAAAATATGAGTAAAATATTAAAAATATATCAAAATAGGAGTTCTATATTTTTTTCTGAAATAGGAGTTAATACATTTACAGTGTCAATCATGGCTATGTACATTACCAAAAAGTATAGTAAAATATCCATGTAAAATGCTACATTACCATGTTATGAACTTTTATTTATGGAATAAAAATATGGAACTTCTATTTTGGTAATTTCTTTATTTTTTACTCATATATTTAGGGTGATTTCTTTTTATATTGTTTTTAATATTCTTTCATTATTGTTGTTTTTATTATATTTATTACTACTATGAGCATTATTTTTTGGAGTTATTAATAGTTAGATTTTGTATGAATTGAAAAAAAAACTATTTTTTAAAATTTAGACACATTATCATTTATTCTTTATGTTTATGGTCACTTTAAATTTGAAATCAATATATTTTTTAACAAAGTTGTGCATTTTTATACACAATTGTACTTTTATTTTAATATTCTTTGAATAATACCTGTTTAATATTTTGGCACGTTTCGAGCATGGGTATTGTAGTGTACTGTTCCGTTTTATAACAGAATAATACTGAATGATTTTAGGGTTCATCCCATATCGATTCCGAATCGTTTAAATAAGAGCGGTCCATGATGGATCCCAATTATAGTATCACAGACCGTCACGAACCGCACCCTCCCCTACCTATTCTGGGAGGCACCTTTTGAATCGATTCTTACTAAATAACTGATTCAAACGGTGCTCCCCAAAGTGGCACCAATTCTGGGGAGCACCTTTTGAATTGATTGTTTTGTAATAACTAATTCCAACGGCGCCTCCTCGAAATGGTGTCAATTCAGGAAAGCACCTTTTGAATCGGTTGTTACTAAACAACCGATTCAAAAACCCTTTCGAACGCGAATTATGTACTCATGGAGGACTTTTTTGCATCGGTTGAACAACCGATGCAAAAAGTATTTACACCAATTGCATTGCTACCTTTTCCATCTGGTAGGAACCGATTCAAAAGACAAAAAAACAACCCATGCAAAAGCTAATATCTGTAGTAGTGGTATCTCTTTTCTTTTTTAATTAGAACCAACGAAATTAGTTATTGTAAAATAATTTTTAACAGATGTTTTTACTAACTAAAATAGGCCGCCAAATAGATTTTATTTTATTTTTTTAACTTTACCTTTCTTTATTTAGTGCAAACATTTGTAAAAAGGAAAATGAGGTGGAGAGGCAAGCTTGCTCTTGTTATTTCTTTTCCCCTGGCTTCTTAACTTCAAGCAGAGTTCCGAATGAGGTAAAGTATATACCCCTCATTATATTTCCTGGTCTTATCCGGCCTTGACCCAATTATACATGATTGGTAGTTGAATTGACCAAATCCAATTGTGTCCAAGTTTAAATATAAACCCATTGCTAACAGTTGATCATCCACCGTGGTCCGACTCAGATTCATGAACAGAATCAATAAGATGTTAAATACCCGAAATTACTGCTGCTTCCTCACCAGGGAGAAGGAGAATAAAAAAGTGCAAAATAGAAATAGTAATAATAATAATAATGATAGTAAGATCGTGAATTACGGCGGCGGCGGCATAGCCGGGAGGTGGCGGATTCTGAGCGGCGAGAACCAATGGGAAGGCCTATTAGACCCTCTGGACAGCGACCTCCGGCGATACATAATTCACTACGGGGAAATGGCTCAGGCAACCTACGACAACTTCATTCGCCAGAAAGCGTCCAAATTCGCCGGGGACTGGCGGTACCCGCGGCAGAGCATCCTCGGAAATGTCGGCCTGGTGAAGGGGAATCCCTTCAAGTACTCCGTCACGAGATACGTCTACGCCACGTCATCGGTTCCGGTCCCGGACGCCTTCATCTTGAAGTCGGACTGGAACAGGGAGTCGAATTGGATCGGGTTTATCGCCGTGGCGACGGAGGAGGGCGCGGCGGCGCTGGGGAGGAGAGACATATTGGTTGCTTGGAGAGGGACGGTTCGGAATCTGGAATGGGTCGATGATTTCGCATGTGTTTTTTCCGATGCGCCGGAGATATTTGGCGGGAAGGCCGCCGCCGGTCCGAAAGTTCATCTTGGTTGGTATTCTATTTACACTTCCCGGAATCCTAAATCGCCGGTTACCAACATCGGTGCAAGGGACCAGGTAAACATACATTCCATGTTGGTCTAGTTTTAATTTTTTATGTCAGCTAGAATTAATTTTGAAAAATGCTAGGGGTACGGTGTACCCCATTTGTCCCCCACCCCCTCCATTACCACAAAAATGGGCAAAAATTTTAAAAAAAATTAAATAAATAAAAAGTAGATAAAAATGAATGGTGGAGAAGGGGGTGGGGGACAAATGGGGTACACATTTGGTGTACCCCTAGCATGACTCATTAATTTTTGATCAACAATTAAAAATGAATTATGAGTATACGATATATCTCTCCATCTCACAAAACACTTTCCATTTTGACTTTTTTTGTCAAACACTGATATGTTTTTACTACAATTGTGAGAAAATTATACTCCGTATTCAATTATAATACTCCCTCCGTCTCGTGAAACATGGGACATTTGCTTTTTAGGAGGGATTTAAGGGGAGTGTATTTTCGTATTGAATTTCCAAAAATGTCCTTTGATGTGATGGGTAAAAGTATGATTTGATGGATAGATTATTAGTAAAAAAGTATGATGTGATAGTTAGGGTATGAAAAAGTAAGGGGTAAAAGTGACTTTTTAATAGAAATGAGAAGTGTTTTGTGGGACGGATAAAAAAAGAAAGGGGAAATGTTTCACGGGACGGAGGAGTATAAATTTAAGAGTAAATTCTATAAAAGATCCCCAGTTATATGTCGTTTTACATATTTAGTTCCTACATATCAAATATTACTAATTTAGTCCCCAATTATTAGATTAATTTTCACGAATGGTCCTTTGTTAACATTTTCGTTAAGAACGTGGATAAAATTATAAATTCACACTCCTTTCTCTCCTCAATTAAGCTTCCTCCCTCTCCTCGCACTCCTTTCACAAACCTGTCGCTGAGTTTGAAGCTTTGAACTCAAAACCAAAATCATCACTTTTCTCTCAATTGTTTGTCGAACTGGTGGAACCCAAATTTGAAACCAATAACCTTCATGGATGAGTTTTAATATCTACTTTCTTTGCAATTTCTTGAGACTAACTGATAAAAGTCATTCATAAAGCTTATTGGTTTTGATTTTAGATTCCACCAAGAAGACTAATAATTGAGAGAGGAGTGATCATTTCAGTTTTTGGTTTAGAGCTTCAAATTCAGCGACGAGTTTGGGAAAAAGTACGAGAGGAAGGAAGAAGCTTAATTGAGGAGAGAGAAGTATGAATATACAATAATTTTATTCATGTTCTTAACAAAAACGTTAACAAAGGACCATTCGTGAAAAATAATAAAATAATTGTGGACTAAATTAGTAATATTTGATATGTAGGGACTAAATATGTATAATGACCTATAACAAGGTATCTTTTATTGAATTTACTCTAAATTTAATATGATTGGGTTCATCGTAGGATATAGTTTTGATATATCAAATTTTTATAACATTTGTTTATTTAGATTATGTTTAATTTGTGGTCAAAGAGTGTCGCTGTTTGATCAAAAAAAGTCAAAATGAGAAATATTTTTTGAGACGGAGAGAGTATTAATTTAGAAAATAATATTTGAAAAATATATATTACTACAAGATAAATCTAGTAAAATTATTTTTCTACGAAGTATTAATATATATAATCAACTATATTTAAATTAAAAATCAAATTTAATCAATTTTCATTGTAAAATTTTTTTTTGAGGACGACTATAAAAAGTTAAAATAAAAAAATACTCTAAGACAAAAGTAGTATCTCTTCGTCCCAAAATGTTTGCCACATTTCGCACCACGAAACAAAATATCTAGTTTTTTTCCATTCATTTAATTTAAATATTGGTATAAAAATAAAAAATAAATTTTACATATTTAAAAACAACATAAAAAAATTTTCGAAATAAGAGGTGTCAAGAATATTGTATGTAATCAAATAATCAATGAAAACGTACAAACAAACAAAAATTTCCATGATCGTTGGAAAAAGAAATGTGACATTCTTCTTTGAACGGAGGGAATAGTATATTTCTCACGTTTGACTTTTCATTTTTAAATTGGTGATCAAAATACATTCAAAATTTCAAATTAATTACAGGCCTGTTTGGGAATAGCTTTAGCGTTTTGAAAAAACTATCTACGGTTAGCGTTTAGCGTTAGTATTTTCAAAGTAATCTGTACCGTTAAAATTTTATCCAAAACGCTAACGCTAATCTCTAACGCTATTCCCAAACAGGCCCTACAAAAAAATCCACATATATATCATATATTGTACTACAATGAATTCTAAAAGTTTGAATTTTGATTGTACTCTCTGTGTCTAAAGAATTGTACTCTCTCCATATTGAGTCATTTATTTGAGTGTCATTTAACTATTCACAAATTAGAGGAGATACTTTTTGTTTCTTTAGTTATTTTTGTTAAGAGTAAATTCCATAATTGATCCTTTATAATAGTGAAGTTTTTCTATTTAGTTCACTTTTATAAAATATTATCCGGGTGGTCTTTCTTTCATGGGTTATTTCCACAAATAATCATTTTTTGATCTTCTATCATGTTAATGTTAATTTGATGATTAAAAGTGTAATTTCATAATGATAATATATCTTTCTTGAGGTCGGTTCTAGAGCCACTGGAATCCAGTGGCTACGGAAGCCACTGTCCCCCTACGGAGCTCCGTTCATGAAATTAATGATTCCTACCCTCCCTAACCCCCGTTAAACCCCCCGCCAAGTCTCGACCCAAACTATTCCCCACACCTACGTCAATTGCACCTCACATGTATAATTGACTTTAATATCAATAGATACGTTGTGACACACGATTTTAAAATATCTTATTTTTATAATATATATTTATATATAAATGAAAATATTTGATAGTTAATGTTGTATTCCAGATCTTGAAAAGTCAAATGATGAAAAATTAATTTTAAGATGGAAAGACTAACAAATTATGTAAGTACGGAGTATTACACAGGTTCTTGGAGAAATATCAAGGCTGGTGAACCTTTACAAGAATGAGACAATCAGCATAACAATAACCGGCCACAGCATGGGGGCAGCCGTGGGAACCTTAAACGCCGTCGACATCGCCATCAACGGGTTCAACAAGGCGGTGGCCGGAAAGAACCCCGCCTGTCCGGTGACGGCCTTCCTCTTCGCCAGCCCAAGAGTGGGAGACACAAACTTCAAGAAGTGCATATCAGGGCTTCAGAGTACTCTTCACATTCTTCGCGTCCGAAACGCGTTCGACATCGTGCCGAATTACCCCCCGATAAGCTTTGCAGACGCCGGAGTGGAGCTGGGGATTGACACGACGAAGTCGGAGTATCTGAAGTGCCCCGGGGACCCGACCGCCTGGCATAGCTTGGAAGCTTACCTGCACGGAGTTGCGGGATGCCAAGGGGCAAAAGGGGGATTTAAAGTTGAAAAAGGGGTGCGTGATATTGCACTTGTTAACAAGCATTTGGATGCGTTGAAGGATGAATACTGTGTGCCAGTTTCATGGTGGGTTGAGAAGAACAATGGGATGGTTCAACAAGGGGATGGATCTTGGGTTCTTATGGATCATGATCGTGATGAGGATGCTGATTAGTGATTTTCCCCACCATATTATGATATATATCACTCTTGATAAATGTAACTTCCTCCAAATTCCATCACAAAATGATGAGTTTCTACCGAAAATTGTGTCAATATTTGATTGCTAATTTACCTAAATAGGACTAAAACATAATGACTTTTTCAATATAGATCATGTATTTTTATTTTCCAATGTAGGACCATTAGTCATTATCTATTAGCCATTATTCAACTAAATGTCCAACATCACTTAGACATTATTATTCTCACTAGTCACACTACTACAAAAAAGACTTTTTAAATCGGTTATTTTGACCCTTTTAAATCGGTTTTGAACCGATGCAAAAGCCGGCGATGCAAATACTCATGTTACTTTTTGCATCGGTTGTTAAAACCGATGCAAAAGCCCTCCCCAGAAATGGCGCCAATTCTGGGAAGAGGCTTTTTGAATCAGTTATTACCAAAGAACCGATGTAAAAGCTCCTTCTCAGAAATGTCGCCATTTTTGGGAAGAAGTTTTTGAATCGGTTACGTTATTACCAAATAACCGATTCAAATATATAATTTTTTCAAAAGGTCTATTTTGTTTGCTCCCGATCCACTACATTTCAACTTTGCAGAAAATTCTATGCAACATATACAGATTTAACAATCAACAAAAAGAATTCAAGTCATCAACACAACAGTAACTAACACAAATGCATTCACAAAACTCAAATGCCACAAAACAAATTAAACCAAAAAAGTAAACATTTGCATCCACCACTTGTACATCTTAAAAAATATAAGAGTATAGAATCCAATAAGACACTTGGGTTGAACCACATTAAAAGATTGAATCCAATCGATTAGTTAGTTCAACTCAAGGCTTATATACGTTTATTTTACTCTTGCACTTCCGATGTTTGATGCACTTTAACAAAAACAACTACGTACTCTTCTAAGTTTTAACAACACAACTAAAAGTCAAACAACTACACTTACACAAGTTCATCGAGAAAACCCCCCGCCCAAAACTCTCTAACCTCCTCTAATTCGGCTCTAGTATAAGGCGTAGTAGACTGAAATACCTGCAATACGAAAACAACATATGACATAAAGTTTAATAATCATTACCCTACACTTCATTACTTTCAAAAATACACTAAAACAAACTTACATCAGAAAACGGTACAGAACATTGTGCACACATATTGACGATGAGCCAACAAAATCGCATGGTATAATAACCACACTCAACGTTCCTTTCTTGTTGGGGTGCTCCGGGAACATCAACCCAATCCGGTCGAGCCTTAAGCTGAGGCATGTGCCGTTCCCGAAGTAACCGCCAAGACCTTTCATATATGTAAAAAACAAATTAATAAGAAATTAATATCTTAACAAATAAAAAATTTCATTAATAAGAAATAAATTTCTTAATACTTACTCGTTGACGAAAGTCTTCACCTTCATTTTCTTATGCCCCCGGTCGCCTTGATTGAGTTTAGGAAATACACTTTGTTTTCAAACAAATGTATTACAACTAACACCCAATGATGCCTACAATTGAAAAAGCGTTAGTCACTAACTTAAAATAAAAAACCAAAATACATATTGGAAATGATTTAGAAAACATACGGTATCGATAGATACAACGGCATAAGTATCCAGGGTCGCGATTGATAGGTCTCGAGTTCTCTATCCAGATCCTGGCGATCTCCATAATCTACCACGTATGCCATGTTCTTCCAAACCAGAACTAAACTGAGGTGATGTACGCGACATATGAATCCAACTTCTATCCATCATATGAATTGCTAAGCAAGAAAGAAGGGCAAATGATTGATACATGAAAAATTATTAACAGTCATTTTATATACACACACAAACATATAAGAAATACAGGCAACACAATATTTTATTTCTTATGATGTAACAAAAATCTGGAAGCACTTCTTCATTATACAAATGGTCCTTCTTTACACCATCCTAACCCATTCTTGAAATGTCACCCTCACTAGTAAATGTATTTCATTTTCTTTGCCCTATCAAAATTTCAGCATCATTTCCCAATGGTTCTCCAAGTGCACGATGTAACGTAATTTCATATGCACCCGAAGAACATATTTAGGAAACGTCAAATCAAAAAATGACGGAACAAAGAGAAAGAAATACATTCACTACCTAAGTGAGAGAAGCATTTCAAGAACAGCTCCAAACTGGGAGCTATTTAAAATTTACTCCTAATGAGTTAATTTTAAACGGGTATCTAGGTCGGTCAATATATGTTATTTCTATATTATAACGTCTCAGAACATGTAGAATCAAACACAAAGTAATTAAACAATCTATTTTTGAAACACAATCTATATCACAATATCACATTTCAACTTAAACATATCCACAAAACATATATAGTAAATTCAATATTAACTTAATGCGAAAATATATAAACAAATAATAGTATAATTAAATATTTAAAGTTAAAAAATTAAAAAAATACCTTAAAGAAGGGACGACGGCGAGGATGAAGTTGACAACGGCGAGGAGGAGCAGCAAGCACGGCACGGCGACGGCGGGGCAACGGAGACGGCGAGGCTAGGCAACAATGGCGAACGTCGAGGGTTAGGTGGACGAGGGCGAAGTGGAGCAGATTTCGAGGCGACACGGGCACGGCGACAGCGTGGTGGGGAGTTGACGACGGCGAGGCAACGACAACGGCAACGGCGAGGCGCATGACGAGCAACGGTAACGACAATGGCTTGAGCAACGGCGAGCACGACGAAGATGAAGAAAGGCTTTGGAGGTTTTTTTTCAAAATCACGTAAGGATAAGGTAGGATTGGATGTGTTTTATCAGACTCTTTTGGATCGGTTATTCCTAATAACCGATTCAAAAGGTATTTGAATCGGTTATTAGGAATAACTGATCCAAAAGAGTCTTAGCTTTTGAATCGGTTATCCCTAATAACCGATTCAAATTCCTTTTGAATCGGTTATTAGGAATAACTGATCCCAAAGCTAAGTGGTACGCGAATTTTTTTTGCCATTTACATCGTTTGTTTTGCTTAATAATGCAAATGGGGCGATTTATTTGGTCATTTTTGTAGTAGTGTCATTATAAAGTCATATTTAGAGAATAAAAAAGTCTAAGTCAGGAAATGACTTATGTTTTAGTCCTATTCAGTGCAAAGTTTTATTTACTTAAAATGCGTTGTAAAAAAATTAGGAAGTATAAACTAACTCATCAGTTACTCCTTCCAATTCAAAAAAAAAACATTTTCACTTTCATTTTTTATTCATCCAAGAAAATACTTTTATGTTCAATTAAAATCTCAATTTTACTCCAAATAATTAACGTATTTATTAGATTGAGGGTGTATTCAACTTAGTTTCTGTAGGAATTTTTTAGAACAATATTTAAAATTTGATGGTATTCAAATTAGATTTTGAAATGTCCATCAAAATCTAATGGTATTAAACACTCCATGGATTTAGAAAGATTTTTACTAAATGTAGGTTTTGATGGATTTGATGTTGTTTTTCTAAAGGAAACTTTACAAACAAATCTTTGGCCACATTCAAAGATTTTTAAGTCTTTTGCTCTAGGCCTTTCTCCAGCTTCGATCTGGTGGCCGCAAGCGGTCGAATCCGATACACCAAATAAAGTCTCACCCATGTATGTACATTCAAAAGATCAAAGTCAGACTTCAACGACATAGCTCGCCAGAGTCATTATTGTTGTTGTGGTTAGGATGGTGGTGATGGCTTAGGATCGAAAATTAAGGAAGACAATGGCACCAACTTAGGGGTTCGACTGCTTGGATGGTGGTGACATCTATTGAATATGAATTGAATATTGAGATCACTAATAGAATTGAGATTAGAAATTAAAGACATGCAGGTGTCATCCCTCACCTGATGATCTCGAGGGTTAAAATGTACGTACAGAGGTTAGTGCCCACCGGTGAAAACAAGAGGGGGCCTCAACCCCCTCCATTGAGAGATATTTGGAGTTTGAGCGTGGGTCCTAGTGAGAGACTCTCATAGGATATATGTAAAACTTAGCCAAGTAGGTTAAGTGTGGTAAGAATGTGCAAGATCTAAATTGAATAAATGTATGACACTGTTGAATAATGATATTTGCTGGTTCTTTAGATATTGTGTAATTATTTCTTGAAACATGATAGTTTATGGATTAGTTCTATCATTAGATATATTCTCGCTCAACTTTCAGCTGAGCGTGTAGTATTTGTTGTCTTTATTTGCACGCAGATATGATTATGAATAATACTTAGAGCAGAAATAAAAAAATAGACCAAAGACCAAAACGATGACATTTTAAACATAGTCTTTTCAATTTTGTCTTTGATGTGATTAGTAAATGTAAAATATCATGAATAAATTATTCGTGAAAAAGTAAAATGTAATAGATAAGATAAACATTTAATTTGAAAGGTGGATATTTACTTGAACAACATCTAGTAAACATTGAATAGTAATAATATATTAGAAAATTGAAATATATGATACCACATTGGAAAACTCACCATGTTTTAGTACTATATATAAGTAAATTTTCCAAATTTTAGCCACACTATAAATTTGAGAAAAAATTAAAGTTGGTGTAAAACAAGTAAAATATACTAAAATAAGAGTCTCATGCTTTGTTTTCAAAATAGAAGTTAAAATACATATATAATGTCAATGATGCGAACATATAATACCAAAAAATATTGTGAAATATTTATATACAGTATTACATTATCACAAAGCAAACTCTTAAATTAAAAATAAAAGCAATCATATAAGCATTTGTAATTCTTGAAAAAAAAATATCAAATGGATCGAGTGATCGACGCACCAATACCATTAATGACACATTCGTCACCGTGCCAAAACGGCATATATGCATCTCCCAAACATGACCCATCACTACACCTCATTATATAATTAGCTTGACGACTTCTAACTATACCTTTCCTAGTCCATGTTGCTTCCTCATACGAACGTTCAAAGCTAGTACTAGCCAGCCTCTTTATTACCATTCTTATATCGATAGTCTATCATCAATGTATGTGTGTGCTGGATTATTGGTTATTGGTTATTTGTTTCGTCACGCTTTGCACTTTACACAACAAACTCAATATATTCCATACTAAACCAAATGTATACCATCCATTTTGAAACTACACATTTTTATTTT